ACATAATTTACCCTGTTCAATGGGACATGAGTCATCAACTAAATATAGTCATACTCAACAGTTATAAGATATTTTGAAAAATGAATTCAAAAAGCAAAGTTCCATTGTCTTATGTTTCTCTAACTAGGTCTAGTTTCATTTAAATTACAATGTTTCACACCGGCAAAATTTTGTTGAAGATAGAACAGAACAGAGGCATACTGAAAGCAAACGACCACCTTGCTATTTGATTAGATCCTGAAGCCTAGGAATCAATTACTATATTTTGGTACATGTTTAGCCAAAATCCCCAAAGGTTAGTATTCAAAGTGACCAAAGCTTTCCAAAATATGATTTTTTTTAAATATTCCATCGTTTCCAAGAGCAATAAGGTTGCTCTAGATTACTCTTCCGCGATCAAAAGGTTGCGAATTTGAGTCTGAAAAATGGTCTCTTTGAAAAATTGCATATAATTGACCTTCACAAGTTCAGGGAGCCTTTGTTCCAGATTTGCCCTTCTTCAATCGTCTCCCTTTTGTGACAAAGGATGCATTCCACACAACCAATGCAAGACACCAATAAATTACTGATTGGTCCTCGCAAAGAAGTGTTCTATCTGCAGGTACCCCTTGGATTGCAAACTACTTGGTTTTTGTCCAAATTTTAACCTTTTTGAACTTACTGAATTTTCCTTTCCATCCTGCAAGACAGAAAAACAATTTCTGAAGTCAGTATACAGCTTTAAGCAACCTCAGCAAAAATGCACAAATATGCCCTTAAACTACTATGTTAGAATATTTAATGATAAGTAGACTAAGAAAGAAATGGAATAATGAAATGAATGAAGTTTCCGTTTCATTTTTAAGGAACTGAACATAATAATAAAAGTCATAGTTTTATGAGTTTGTTTTTTCTACAACTGCAAATGAGTTATCTGCAGTAACTTCAATACGATGTTGTTTTGGACGAAAATCATGGTATTTTTGTAATTTTAATTTATTTCAGGGTTATAATAGTTTTGTATTTATAATTTTTTAAGATTTCAATACCCAAACGATGTCGTTTTGAGAATAAATGCAGATAACTTATATGCAGCAGAAACATTTTTCCTTTGTTTTATTATTATTATTAGAGGATGATTATACTTATTATCATTTTAACTTTATTATTCTTATTAATAAGATTGGTTACCATTGGATTAATTTAAAATCAACGGTAGTTAATTTTTTTCTACCCGTTAATTTTTTCTATTTTTTAATCGTTAATTTTAAATTGATTCAACGACAAAAGTAAAAATAATAAGGCTAAAATGATTATAACCGTTGATTTTATTACATCCTATTTTAAACAATCCAAACAATAATAACTAATGTCATTCCATTTCATTCCACTTCATTGAATCCCTTTCCATTAATCCAGACAGTCTTAAAGAGATGCTATAATACCCTTAATAAGATGTCAAATATTTATTAACAAATATTTGAAAACACCATATATATTCAACAGCCATTAAGTGTTTAACAACTCACCAAAATACTAATACTTAGATAAGAAATATGGTTACAAAGTAACTATCATGCCTTTATTATACAAGGATTACGAAAAGTATTGGGTTAACAACTATTTATCAAACTTTTTGAGTCCGGCTTATAAGAAAAATGATGCTCTCAAAGGTAGAAAGACAAATAGAAGAGAAAGGAAAATAACTGCGTGGAATGTAAATCTTCAACCTCTACAGTAAGTCAGTAACATCAAATTATATATTGGTTATTAAAACTGAAAAGATAACAAGCATATTCACTGGAAGATAGTACTACTACTTTCAAACCAAATCAAGGAAGCTTGGGTATCATAGAAAACATTTGTAGGCCAAAAAAGATTTACACATAGTTGCATCTTTCAAATGAATCAAGGAAGTGTGGATATGATTGGAAACATTTGTTGGCCAAAAAAGGTTTACACATAGTTTGCGTCAAAATTAAACTCTTTAACAAAAGTACAAAACTCACCGAAAATATTTGGTTTGGAGTCCTTAGAACTTTTATTTTGCCACCTCTACCATCAGCCCCGACAGCTATCAAATCCCCATTACTTGAACCTTTTGCAGATGTTGATTCACTGTTTTGTCCACGCTTGCACCATTTACCCAAGTATCGATGAGTTCCATCAGGTCCAAGCAATCCACCAGAAAAACAGGTATTTGCTGGAGGTTACGAAGGAGAATGAAAGAAATTCCAGATTTAAGTTCTCTTCAGAATTTCACAAAATCTACAGTATCTTGTATTAAAAAAGAGAATAAAGAAGTAATACAAAGAAAAAAAAAAAAGCCCATTTCAAAACTCAACTAGCAGCATACCTGAATTTGAAAGTGTTAATGGAGACTCCTTTCTAATGTTAACCATGGGTTGAACTTGTTGAACGTTGGCTTGTACCATCACATCTTCATCCATAGTGCCAGCAGAAATATTAGCCATTTCAATGTCAATATCAACTCTTGAAGACTCAAGCAAATTACATTTTCCTTGCAACAATGTTTCAGTCTTTATGCCAGAAGCCAGAGAAGGCTTGCTAAAAGCATCATCAACCCTGTCTTGATCTTTGTAGTTGTGTTTTGGACGTCCAGGCAAAGCTTTTGTAAATTCTGAATTATCTTCATCAATTGAGATAAAATCTATCTCTTTATCAGGAGACAAGATAGTTTTACTACCATTTCTAATATCCACAGCGTTATTCTTAGTAGCATTGCAGTTCTCTATCTTCAAAGATTGTGAAGATTTACTGTCGTCATTTGCAGTCACATCAAAATTACAATTGATACTATTTTCAAGATTCTTTGAACACTTTGTTTTCTTTGAAACTTTCAGAGACATCAGATATTCGTTTTCTTTTACTTCTGCTGTTGTCTCCAGTTCTTGTATCCTAGCCTAACATTGCCCACAAAACTCTTAACAGTTAATGATCCATAAAAAAATGCTATAATGAGATTATAAATAGCAAGCAAATCATGTGCTTACCTTCAGTTTAATGATTTTCTCTTTAGCCTTCTCAAGCTTTTTACTATAACGAGCCTCGCCTCTTCCCAGAAGATTGCACTTGGCCATTAATTCTTTGTAACTCCTACCAAAATAGGAGCAAGTACAACTTACATTACAGGGCAAGGCATAAATGTTTTAGTCAATCGGGAACAACTTTTAAGGGCAAAACTTGAATTTTATGCCTACAATATACAGAATAGTACCACAAGCAAAAGCCCACAAATAAAACATTTATTGATTTCCAATACATACAGAAATTTTAGAAAGTCCAATACCAAACAACTTTTTGAACCTAGCTTTTTGTCAACAAATCAAGATTTGGTGGATAAACCTGTTCCGCAAGACCAGAGATCTTTTTAATGTGTCTATCGTGTCTTTGCTGTTGGCACCGTTACCCAAAGTGGCAAGCTTCAAAACCTCCTCTTCATCAAGGTCCAGATCAGACACTCTACGGTGCAGGTCGAAAACCAACTTAGCAAGATGTAAAAAATAAATAAATATTATATCATAAACAAAAATGGGTATTCCCTATTCAATCAAAATGGAGATTCACTCACAATTTTAATGCTGCAAGTTCTTTAGCCAAAGCCATATTTCTATCTTGTAATCTAAAACGCTCCAAACTTGACTTCTCAAGCTCCTAAGTCAACACGAAATCATTACAAGTTAATTCGGGCTGTAAATTGTTAATATATCACAAATAACACAGAAGCCTACTAAGTAATTCACCTCTGATTTCATATGAAGCTGGAATTGTATGGATGCTTTTTGATTTAAGGCCTCGTTTTTCAATGCTATTTCTATCTTTGCCTGCTCCTTGCAAGCACAGAGCTGAAGGCATATTCGTTTAAGAGCCACAAGGAATCAATAGCATCAACCCAAAAAAAAAAAAAAAATTATTAGTAAATACAAAAGAAGTGTAAGAAGTTTTGTGGAGATATATATGACACCAAGTGAAAGTAATTGCCTTGCTAGGATTTTGCAATTTGATTCAACTCAACTATTAATTAATCTGATTGAAAAGAAGTATATTGTATAAAAGAATTACATGGAACAAGGTTTGAATTCCTTCACTTTACTTACTGTTTCCTCCGTTCAATCGAAATGCCCAAGCATCAACATATTGAGGTTTCTTTAATTTGTCCAATTACAGGTCAGTATAACAAGTCACAGAAAAAGCATGAATGTTGAGTTTCTTTCTGCATCTATAATCATCAGAGTAGTTTAACCATTTGTGTAGCTATCAGTTCAGCTTTAGTAAAAAAAGAAGAAGCTAAAAATCATTTGTGCACTACACATTAGAAAGAACAATTCCCTTTCAAACAAAACCTCAATCTTCTTATGCCTTACTTCTAACCCATAAATTAAATTGACAAATCAATCACCAGTTCAACATTCCAGTTACAATTCTGAACAGCAATTCTCACACCTCAACCTGAAGCACCTCATTTACCCAAAAAAGTTAAGCTAAACGCAACCAAAACAAATCAAAATTACCTCCTCGGTAAGTTCTTCCAAGTCCTTTGCTTTCTGTTTCGATTCCGAACTAAGCATTGAAACTTGCATCTCCAATCTTTTGACTTCCCTGCGCAGAACCCCAGCATCTTCCTCAAAATCAACGGGATTCCGAGGAAGAACAGCATCGTTCACTTCTCCAACCGATTGAAAATAAAGCCTGCACGCATCGCTGGCCCTGCAACTCTGCTTGCAAACGGGGCAAGTGTGCTTCTTCGCTCTTGAACAGTACTCAAACCATTGCTGCAGACTTCACACAATAAACCAATCAGACCCAAAATGAAACAATGCAAAAGAGCGAAACTTTAACGGCGTTTTCTTCGATCAACGCAAGAGGGTGGTGGGAATTTACCAGAGCTCGTGGAAGACATGGCCGCAGATAGAGATTGATTGAAGATCTTCCGTAACGGGCTTGAGAACTTCGTAACAGATCGAGCAAATGGTGCCGGCGAACTCGCCGCCGTCGACCATCTCTTGCGGGGTGTTGTTGAATGAACGACTCTTTCTCTCTCTCTCTCTCTCTCTCCGTGTGTGTGTGTTCGCTTCTGTGATTTTCTGACCACACTTTCCCCGAGAAAAATAGTGGGGAAATGAAGGGAAAATTTTCTATTTTATTTTTTTCGTTCTCTGAGGGAAATTTTAAACCTGGCGCAAAATTAATTTTTCTTAGGGCGGGAAAGAGAAACATGAGAAATGAGGGGAAGACTGCGTGAGTGTCACGTGACGGTGAAATGTGAATTTTGCTCCAAGTCCAGGGTTCAAAAATATAAAAAATAATTCAAAAAAATGGGTTTTGAGAATTTGAGAAAAAAGAACGAGAAAATCATCATTTTTATTTTTATTTTTGTTTTATGAGACCGAATGATTGCTTGAAATACCATGTAATTTACCTCTTGCATCAGCATTGCTTTTTTTGTATAAACATTTGTTGAATTTTTATGATTGCACTAACAAGTAATGATAATAGTTAATGATGAAGGATAGCACATATAGAGGTTCAGAGTTCAAATCCAGGTTTGCTCTATTTTAGTCCAATGATTACACAAATGCAAGGGAAGAAAAACATAATGTAATCAATTGAGCCACATAGAATTGAATTGCTCTCACATGTGGCGGAATGCCTCCTAATCTTCTAGGGTGGCACCTTCCACTATAAAGTTCTCTCTCTCTCACATAAAGAAAATTGATTGGAGCTTGGGTACCTAGATTGCTTATCTACTATGATTGACTGATTGTGGAGTGGAGGCATCTTTCATGCAAGTTCATAACTTTGCCAAACCCTCCCAAATGGATTTATTGTGATCTCTGGGTTATCAATTCCATGAAGTGTAGCTCTTCTTATGATACCATATCGTATAGGTATGTGTCAGATACTTGTTCTTGTGCCAAACTGACGAGTCTCCAATTTATTATATATTAAAAGTTAATATAAGCATGAAATTAAAATAAAAATAATTAAAAATTATGAGAATTATAATTAAATTATTATTTTATTCTCAATAATATTCTCATAAAAATTCTTATATTTTGCAGTAAATTTCAGCTCAATAAAAAAATAAATTGAAGAGATCAAATAGAGTTGCTTTGGATTTCTAAATCATTGAAGATCTTATTAAATCTTCCTTTGACTATTTTTTAAGAAAAGTTTTTCATTAAATAAAAAGGAAGATTTGAAGGATTGGATCAAAGATCTGATAAGAGATTCTAGTGAAGATTCCATTGAAGATATTATGAAAAATTAAAAAATATGATTTCATAACTATAAAAAGGTAACTCTTGGAAATAGAAAAGCACATCAGAGGAAGGAAGAGAATACCGGATATCAGAGTTGAGATTTCAGAGATAAAGGAGCTTGAAGGAGATTGAAAAATATTGATTCTTCCTCTTCTTCTTCTTCGTGACTTCTTCTTCTTCTTTTTGTTTCTTTGTTTTATTTAAGCCAGCTATGCCTGAACCCTTTTGATATTTGAATTATTTTTATAATTCTTTTATTTCAATTAATTTTTTTTTTTTTTTTGTAAATCAATTAATTTTATTTTACCTTGAATGAAATTTATATATCCTTATTAGAATTGATCACTCTTATAGGGCTTTAAGGGTTAGAACTCACAATATACATATTGTGATTTTAATTCAGACTGGGATAAAATAATAATTTGTGCATGATCTAGACATAGGCTTGTACGAATTATAGACTTCTTAATTCATTGAACTTAATGCTTAATTCAAGAGGGATTACTAAGATATTGAAATTCTAATTGGGTTAAATACACTAAGACATTATGGTTTAACCAATTAATTTAAAGAAGATGAATTGTCTAAACAATTGAAATAATTGATTATAAGAATTAATTTAGATTAATAAGGGGGATCAAATGTGAAGTGTACCCTGGCTACAGTTTTTTATTATAATTCCTTAATCGTTCTTGTATGTTCTTGAGTTATATTGCAATTAAGTTTTGTTCTTTTTTTTTATTATTCAAAATTTATTCTCTAAACCAAATTGGATTGTCCAAATTAAAGGGAAAAGTTATAATAGTACTTGGTGCTTTAATCCTCGTGGAACGATACTCTTTCTCACTACTTTATTACTTGAAACAGTATACTTGTCGTAAACCCTTTCTTCACTATCTCTAACCCATACAAATGTTTAGATATTCAAAAACCCTTTGTGCCACCATCCTCAATCACATGATCATAGGGAACATAAAGAGGATCCATTTCGTTGGCTCTTTGATCGATTTGGGATTTTTACCTCTTCATGGGTTCGAATCCAGTAAACAGCCTCTTTGCAATTATGCAAGGGTAAGGCTGTGTACAAGGATTTCCTCCACCCCACACTCGCTAGTCGGGTTTAACTGGGAGTGTTTTTTTTTTTTCAATCTAATATTTGATTCACATATTTACCAATGGGGGTCATTGAGTGACACGAGAGGGACCCAGCGGCACTGAGTGCCGCGACCCTCCCCCCGCGTCACTCACACATTCTTCTTTTTTTTCAATTGAGTGACGCCCTCAGAGGTAAGCTTGCTAACCGTGGTGTTCCAGGTCAGGGGTTCGACTCGGCCCCTCAAATTTCCCTTCCCCAGACACTCACGGAGTGGGTCTTGAACTGGGTCGGCCTTTTTAGTGACGCCCTCTCCCCTGAGGCACTCATAGGATTGTGCCAAGTGGCACAATCTCGTTAGTCTCATTACCGTAAAACTTTGGAAGGCCATAACTTTTGATTCGGGTATCCAAATCAGATGATTTTTTTTTATTTCACATAATTTTTCGATATCTAGGCAATGACACCTCATTTGGCATATTTTATCTCTCAGAAACATAGTTCGAATTTGTAAAAATGTGAAATTATTGTTACAAATTTAAACTATTGGTGGTGGTGGTTTAGGGTTGGGTTGGGTGTGATGGTTTATGGCAGATGGCAAATGAAATTAGAAGCTGCAGCACTAGGGTTGGGTGTGATGGGGAACGTATGCTTGGCATTCCTTTTTTTCCCTGTAGCTCGTGGCTCATCACTGCTGCCACTGCTTGGCCTTACCTCATAGAGTTGCATGAAGTACCATGTTTGGCTTGGAAACATAGTCATGACACTACACTTTTCATGGCCTTGGTAACATCATCTATTGGGCAGTTACCAATCAAATTTCTCAGGTTAACTAAGACTAAGATCTACTTACAATACATACATTCTCAGGTTAACCAAGTTTTTTTAATTCAGAAAAAAATTTATAAAATAGGAACTTCTTAAATGGATGATGCCATATTCACTCAATGTAAAACTATTTATACTGTCGGTAATGCCAAATTAAAATAAGCCAAACGACCCAACAAACTAGTATTAGTTACAAAACTGCTCAGCTGTTGCCTCACGTTCATATCTTAACAAAGTGGTTATTCCTTTTCATGGCACTCTAATTGCTATTCTTGATGTCTTGGGTTTTGAGTAAATTTCGAAAACATGAAATACAAGGAGGCATGTCTGGGGACACTTTTCCTTATGAGAAAAGCTTTTGCGGTGCTATGGAAAACCCAGTGCAATATTCAGTTACCTTCGTGGCATTCTTGCAAATGTTAGTGGATTATTTTCAAATTTAGGGATATTCTTAGTTTTTTTTTTAATTGCGTCTCTTTCGTATTATATGTTAGATTGGATGACAGTTCACTTTGATTTCTAGTTGTGTAGTGGTAGCTCCAACAAAAGCTGCACTGTGTTTTACACTAGCTTGGAGGGCTACAGTGATAATTTCAGTTATATGGTTTTTGTATAGATGGAAAACAAATGTTTTTGCATGGACACTGTCCAGTCAAAGTTTACCTTGGCTTGGTACGGAGAAATTGCTATTTCTAGACAAAATCTCATCTATTGGCCTATTTGTGATTGGTATATTGGCTTTGGCTGAGAATTGTGGTCTGAGTGTGTAATCTATCGTAACTTTTGGTGCTATTGGCTTATTTGTGATTGGTATATTGGCTTTGGCTGAGAACTGTGGTCTGGCTGTGCAATCTATTGTAACTTTTGGTGGTATAAGAGGTAATTGTTAAATTTAATTGAATCTGGTCAGTTTAATTTTACATTCTAAAATTTTTTAGTATCTCTCCTTTTCCTACATCTTTGGTTTTCTATAATGTTGATGGAGACTGGAAAACTCTTATTGATAATTGGAGGTGTTTGGAAAGAAAAGTTCTATCTAGGTATATCATAATATCAATCTGGATGAAAGTTGATGCCTTCAGCACGGTAGAAATTGATAACTAGTACGGGAAGCTCCACATTGCTTATGTTAAAGAGGAAATATTGTATAACTTGAAGTGAGAGGAAATATTGCATGACTTGGAAGTGCAAAAGCCTTAATCTCTAGAAAGATGGGTAGTTCTGGAGCTGTAAAAGCAATGTATAATATCAATAGTATAAAAAAGAAATGAATAGAATACACACATTGTAATAATTTCTCGTGCTCCATTTAGTGAAAACACCAGTTATCCTTGATCCTTTCCTGTTGATCCAGCTTGCGAGCCTTATACCAAAACATGTTAATATCTCTGAGTTTTCTTTATCCATTTGATAAAAAATTTATTAGGTTGCTTCGCATTCCTTAAAGAGTTATACTCATTTATTTATTTCTTTTTCCCCCATTAGAATAAGGAATGGATAATTTAATGGTTCTTTCTTGCTATCTTTATGCAGGATTGGCTACTGCCTTCGGGAAAGACATTCTTACCGGTGTGTTCAGAGGTTTATCTATGCAGATTTCAAAGCTCTTTTCAATTGGAGATACAATAAAAGTATGCTGATTTAGTAGGTGCAAATTAATGATTGGTCCTGTTTTACTTTTTATGGGAAAAGTTATTTTCTGAACAATGGTCCCGCTATTGTCTATTATAGATGTTGAATGTACATCCAGGGGAAGAATTAGAGTTAAAAGATTGGAAGGGCCAAAGTAAAACAAAATTAGGTGATGTTTTTACAA